CACAGCAATGGAGATGTACAATTGAAAAACAGCAAGAGAAAGAAAGAGACTGACCTGTGCAGTCGAATACAAATTGCCCCTTTCCTCTCCTCTTTTTTTCTGTTGCGACAAGTGTCATCAACTTTGCGTTTCTTCTTTTTAATTAAATTTATATCTTTGAAATAAAACAAATCTGATGAGTAAGAAAAGTAATACTCACAGAGGCTAAATTCACGACGCACCTAGTTTGGGGCTAAAATGGAATTTCAATTAGTCTTTTCGTTGCTGTTTAAATTTTTTAATCTTCTTGTTGTCAAAACAAAAATGACAACCAAGAACATTTATCAATCAATTAGTTTTTTTAAAAGTAGTGGCAGTGCGTGGAATTAATAAAACTTTTTTGCGTTATCTAATTTAATTTCACTTTTTACAAGTCTCCATCAAAACAAATTCTTTAAATAACAATCAATAGCATAAAAAGAAGATGGAACGGTCATGATGAAATGACTGCCCTTCAAAAAAGGATATATCGATTGACTGTCGATCTTTCTTTTGGTCTTCTTTTGTAACATGCCGCAATTCAATTTGATTGCAGTGACACTGATCAATCAATTTGACAATAAAGTTTGCTTTAGTATCTTTTTTATTAGCATTTTTATTTATATTAACATTTTTTAGCATTATCAAAATTAAGATGCGCATCTGATTTTAAAAAACAAAATCAAAAAGCAATCTCAAAATACTCTTTTGGTAAAGGCAAACAAAAGCAAATCAGAGAACGCGATAGCGCTAGTCGACACAACTCGCAATGTCGCCCACTAATTTATTTTTCTTTTCATTTTTATCTTTTCTACTAAAGCTCAAATGTTTATACTTCAGATGTGATCACCTGCAGTGCTGTGCAGTTGTAGCCAGCTTGAGTGAGAAAAAAGTTATGACTGAAAGAACAAAAAAGATGCGCGAGAAAACATCTGCATGAGCACAATCTGACCATTTCATTACAGTACAGCTGGTAATTTACAATCTATGTTAAGCATCCAGTAAGAATGGCACTTCGAGCTAATGACAATCTGTTTGGGGAAATAGATGGTCCATTTGTGCAATACTTATCAGTGTCCTCACAAACGCAATTTATGGACAGGTATTTGCACAGGTAGTAAGTGAAAACAAGAAAAAAGACAGGCAAAAGAGGATGGGTTTTATGCTTAAAATGATTAACACCGGGCGTCAGCCCGGTGCAAAGTTACTGTTACCTGCGAGATTTTNCGTTTTATGCTTAAAATGATTATTTTTTTTGTTATTTGTCCAACACGTGCACCGCCTGGACAATGGACATCTTCTTTATTTGTTGGCAGTGGTCGGGGAAAATACTGCTGACAACAGCAGTTTACAGTGATGAGGGTTCGTTACAAGTTTATTTTGTTTTTCATCTTTATTGCTTAGTTCTGCATTTTGAGCAGTGAAGTGCGAAATGTGTTACTGCATTATTTATGAGACAAAATATTGATGATATTTTTAGATATTTCAAAATTACCCAAAGCCAGGAGAAAATATGTGAAAAAGTCAACAAAGATTTAAAATTGTTTTTAAGTACATTTTTAAAAGTATGAATGCTTTTCTAGCCGATAAAAGTTTCATTATTTTTTTGCAATTTTGAAACACTTAAAATTGTACTTGTATGTTTTGGACGTACTATTATTACACTATGACTCAGTAAAGTAAAACTATAATCATTTGCAACAATTACTAAATCTGTATTGTATGTTTTCATTTTCTCTCCTCACAGACAACTTCTTTTCTCTGGCTCCTGTCCGCTTTTGTCTTATCTTAATCTGGTTCGATGTTCCCAAATAAGCCCTGATTGCATTGCTGCCATCATCAGCACCTTTGGAAATCAAATAATGATTGTCCACGATAAGGATGAGTTGAAGTAGGACTTCTTACTACTCTCTTGAACACTATCAATTATTGTCTGTTTGTTTGTGTGTCATCAATATTTCTATTTTTTTGTNTTTTGGAAATCAAATAATGATTGTCCACGATAAGGATGAGTTGAAGTAGGGCTTCTTACTACTCTCTTGAACACTATCAATTAGTGTCTGTTTGTTTGTGTGTTATCAATATTTCTATTTTTTTGTTGCTGATAAATGTCAAGGTGTGATTTCAATTATTGTCTGTTTGTTTGTGTGTCATCAATATTTCTATTTTTTTGTTGCTGATAAATGTCAAGGTGTGATTTCAATGTATTTTTGTTTGCCATAAATATGCCCTCATGTTGATGATGTTTTTTAGCCATTTTAGTAACTTATAAAAAAATGATTATTAAACAGCTTTTCATATTTGTGGTTCACCTATTCTTTTCTGCCCAAGTGGTGGTTAGCGAGAATGAGCTGAAGATGCTCACATACATTTTTAGACATGGCGCACGAACTCCGGGATATCGATTTGCGGCTGATACATACTACGCCAACTTTAGTTTTCCAGAAGGAAAAGCCGAGTTGACAAAAAACGGTAAACGAAGTTTGTACATGAGTGGTCAAAAAGAAAAAAAACAGTTTGAAACCTTTCTCCGTAAGTTGCAAAATATTACAAATTGAGTAGTCAGAATGCTAATGTTATTTTTCTCTTTTTATCAGAATCAATACCACTGCCAAACATCATCGCTAAATCTTCCTCTGCTCGAAGATGCCAAGAATCGGCCCTCTCCTTCCTGGCTGGCCTTTTTCCACCTTCAGTCGATCAGCGTTGGTCTTCCGAAGGTGGTCTGCCTGAACTTTGGCAACCGATAGCCGTGTCAAGTGTAGAAGAATCTCGAGATTTCCTTCTAGAAAGTACTTCCCTCTGTCCCAAACGTGACGTCATAATGGCAACATTTCCAACATTGTCATCGGTGAAAAAGTTTGTCGCCTCTAACAAACACTTCATTGACAGTTTTACCGAACACAGTGGTCTCAATGCAAGTGATGGCCGGTGGGGGTTGATTTCTTTTTTTTACGATACTTTGATCTGCGAGAAAAATTACTTTGGAGATGCTTATAAAGAACCTAAATGGCTAAAAGAACTGGGGTCTGATCGATGGGAAAAAATGAAAGCTTTTCAAGACGTGGCACTTTCTTCCGCCCATGAGCTTCCAAAAGAGTTTTTCAAGTTGGTAGCAGGACCATGGATCAGAGAGCTGATCATGACAATGAACAGTGTTAAAAACAAATCAGGTTGTTGGTGCTACCCTCGTTCCTAAATCACACTTATTAATTGTCATGCTTTTTTACTAATCAGACAACCACATCCGCATCTATACAACACATGACTTCAACATTGGTACCATTCTATACGTTTTAGGTCTCTATAAAGTTCCGCCGTTGACTAATTCAACGGCCACTCGCCTCAACCAAAAGCATGCCCTTCCCCCAGTGAACCCTCCGTTTGGCTCAGGACTGAGAGTTGAGCTACGTGCAAACAGAACAACAGGTGAACACTTTGTAACGCTGTTCCACATTACTGGAGATAACAATGTCGACAGTCAATTAATGTCATTTCAAATGTCGCCTACTTTTGCTGAGCGATGTCACAGCGAAAAGTCATGTCCTTTAGAAGCGTTCACTGAGTCTCTGAAAAGTAACTATTTTGAGAATATTGAAGATGCATGTAAATTGCATTAATAAACTCTTAAATTCATTTTTTAAAAATTAAATCTACAGTTTTATGCAAATGTTTTGGTAAAATGTAAAATGAATAAAACAGAAAATAAAAAATATAACATTTATACTAAATTCGTTTCAAAAATATTTGTTTAACTTTTAAATTACTCTATACAAATCAAGAAAAAGCTCTTTATTTGTTGTTTATTTAGCATTAAATGTTGTAAAAAACTTAGCATTTAAATGTATAATTAAGATTGCTAAGTTGTTATAAAAAATTTAAAGATGTTGTACTCTGAAACGTTTTTGATTTTTTGTTTTCTGAATTCAGGCTTGTTTTACTTCTACATCTAATTTAAATTTTGAAACATTGTTGTTATTTATGCAAAAGTAGCGGCCGGTAGCCGCTAGAGAAATTTAGCCGTACATTGTTGTAAGCTCGAACTAGCGTCGAGCCGTTTGTATAAAGAGACGTTACCTAGTGTCATTAAAAGTAACTTTGAGATCGGAAGCTTGAGTCTCTCGTCTTTCCAGCAATCTCTACTCAAATCATTTAGTTTAAATAAAAAAATTACATAAAATATAAAATGTTTCAAAACTTGCTGCTTATTTACTTACTTTCCATTGTGGATTCAAACGCAGCAGCACGTTGGCAAAGTACACTCAAAATCTCTGCTAAATTATATCTTTCAATTTTAATCGTTTTCATTTACATCATCTCATTTATTTTTTCAATTGAACGTTGTTGTCAATTACATTATTCAAACATGTTTGTTTTTTAATTTATTAATCATTTTTTGCTCTTTTTGTGTTTGCCGATAAAGAGCTTTCTGGACATGACTGATAAAGTACTTTATAAAGCACAAATGCTGCTCATTGGATTAGTTAGTAGAAAAACTAAACTGATGAATTATTGCAAGTTGTTAAGAACAAATAATCGATTTGCTTACACATTGAAAGCCTATTCAAAGATAAAAATGCTGATTAGCGGAAAGTAGGTAGCAAAGTTAATGAGAACAAAAATTAATAGAATTTATTACAATAATGTTTACTATATAGTTCCTTTATCTTTTACTCTTTCAAATACTAAACTACACAAAAAATTACCAAAATAAATTAAAAACTGAATTTTGTGGTAAAATTCTGTATGCAAATGTAATTAAAGTTTTAATAATTAAAACGGTCTTTTGCGCCGCAAATTCAAATATTCTTTTGGGCAGTAGTGCCCCTGTACGTCAGCTATGAAGGTGACACAGTCACGTGTTTTTATTTTTGTTTTGATTTCAGCAACATATTTTGAAAAACTTCAAAACTTGAAACTTACCTTACTTCTCATCTTCGCACAGAGATTATTTTGATTTAGATCAAGTGAAAAAGATTATCATGACGACCATTCTTCCTAGTGGTCGTGTTTTCATCAGGGTAAGTTGCAGAAGACTGAACTGCAGCTTTGTTTTAATATTTGTTCTTCTAGAATAAACACAAAAGCTTCCTTGACACATTAAGATTTCAAGTCTGTGGTGGATCAGGTGGAAACGGATTACCGAAACATGATGGCCTAGGCGGCAACGGCGGAAATGTGTACTTGGTAGCGAAAAACGGCGTCACACTGAACACTGTTAGACAATCAAAGCAGTACAGAAGCGGATTTCGAGCCCAAGACGGTCAACACAGCTCCAACCTCTCCATAATCGGCGCCAATGGGAAGGATCTTCAGATTGAAGTGCCTACCGGTGTGACGGTAATTGCTGATGCTTTTAAGCGAAAGCTCGCCGACCTGAATAAGAACAATGATCAGGTGGCAGTGGCTATTGGCGGCCGAGGTGGTGACCGAACCAATGCTTTCTGTGGCTCGCCTGGTCAGCGGATGATGATCAAACTTGATCTGAAGATGATTGCCGATGTTGGCCTGGTGGGGTTTCCTAATGCAGGCAAATCAACGCTGTTACGCGCTTTGTCTCGTGCATCGCCAAAAATTGCCTCCTATCCGTTCACGACCATCAAACCTAACCTGGGGGTGATCGAGTACGCACCGGCACATCAGCAAAAAGGACTAGTGCTGGCCAACAAGAAAAGAGCAGCAACGTTAAAAGCTTCTTCTGCCGAGCACTTCAACTGTGATTTTCGCCAGATCAGCGTTGCCGATTTACCCGGACTAATTGACGGTGCTCACCGGAACATTGGTCTAGGTCACAGCTTCTTGAAGCACATTGTACGAACCAAGCTCCTGCTGTTTGTCGTCGACATTGATGGTTTTCGCAATGCCGGTGGTGTCGAGTATCACGAGACGTGGAGTTCCAAAGAGCCTGTCCAGGTAATTCAGTCGCTAGTCAATGAGCTGGACTTGTACGATTCAAGTATTCTGCGCACAAAACCGTCAATGTTGGTGGTTACGAAACTTGACAACACCAATAAGAGACGGCAGTTTGAGGAGCTGATGGACGAGTTGCGAAAAGCCACTATTACGATTCCTTCAATGGAGGAGGCTAGAAAAGAGCAATCGTCAGCCGACGAAAATGCGCCAAATTCGGACCGAGTCAACTTTGAATTTGATAGAGTCGTTGGCGTTTCCTCTGTGACAAAGTTTAACATTGACAGGTTGAAAGGTCTCATCCGACGATTGATTGACATTGACGCCGAGTCAAAGTTGCAGCACGTCAGCTTCAAACAGTTGCTGGAAAAGAACAAAGACGACCTTGATCTTTTCCTGGACGACGATGAGGAAGATAAGGAGAATCATCTCCAACAATCAGGCTCCTCACACTAACAGTAAGTAATATCGCCACCTTTTGCTGCAAAACTGACATCACTGAAGTGCGAATCACTTGCTCACCAATAAAGCTAATTTTCGCGAGTATGAAGTGTCAGGTGTGTTTGATCCACAAAACTTAATTATTGAGTGCTGGTAAGTGCACATAAACCGTACTTCTGCATTATTTATATCAATTCAAAAAAGATCCGGAGGGTAATTAAACGTCACATGATCGTCAAGTGCCTTCACCTAAGCCTCGAGTGGCTCTTTTAAGAGGACCAGTCTTTTATTTACCGGGCAAAAAGGGCAAGAGTACATTACACTGCCGACTAAACGGCACCTGGAAATGACTATTTTCTCTCCCTCGCACTCTTCTGCCGCAATCGAGTTAATGTACTGCTGTGTTGGTGCTAATGACAAGTTATGAGGCCAGAGCTTATTGTCGCCAGTGTCGTCGGTATACTTTTTGTTGAAAGTAAAATGAAAGTGGTACTGCTGTACCAAACACAAAAAATGTCAAGCAAAAAATGAGTAGTTGACTGTGAGGTTATAGTGACCGAGCTGCCAAATTGACGTCATTACGTCAACGTTTGCGATTCAATTAGTGATGTGCCAATTAGTGAACCATCAGTTGTTGTACTCCAGCGCCATTTCTAGCAGTTGTGCAGTCTGTGTATGTGCCTTCAATTTAAATAAGGTCCGTCACCAGTGGTCACCTACCTTCCTTCACTGGCCAGCCGGTTTTGTCTTTTCTCCAGTGGTTTCTCTCTGTGTTTTGAGCTCTGTGTTGTCTCCTTGAAGTTCCAAATGTGTCCGTCTGTCTGTGTGCCTAAATGAATGCAGTGAAGTGCACTGTGCCTGCGTCCAGCCTTCTGCATTTCAGCCTGTTGGGCCAAGTGACCAGTGATTTATATTCTCTCTTTACCGTGCTGATTAATGGAAAAATTGGTATTCGGTGTTGTCCAAGTAAAGTTGAGCAAGTTTACTCTCGTTCTCTCTCTCTCTCTAACAGTGTATCTGTGCGCCTGCTTCCACTCTTACTGTTTTGAATAAAATTATTTTTAGTAGGGGCTTAGTCGGTTTGTGTTGTAGCTTGTGATCTGACAGTTGATTGTAGCTGTTGAAGTACTGTGTCGAGAAAGAGAGAGAGNTCTCTCTCTCTAACAGTGTATCTGTGCGCCTGCTTCCACTCTTACTGTTTTGAATAAAATTATTTTTAGTAGGGGCTTAGTCGGTTTGTGTTGTAGCTTGTGATCTGACAGTTGATTGTAGCTGTTGAAGTACTGTGTCGAGAAAGAGAGAGAGAGCACAGTTTGTTTTAGTGTACAGTGGCCACCTTTACACAGTGGTTTCCCTGGTTTACACATTTTCATATATTGACAAGCTGGTGCTTCTGCCTTTAGGTGAGAGTGAGTCGAATTTTCTCATTTATTGGCTCTCGTATTATTCTTATAGAAATTGTCATTTTTTTGTTAAATTCTTGATCTCAGCTTGTGGAGCAGCTAAAATTGCAGTTTTTGCTTTAAAATAAAGTTAAAGAGCTAGGCAAGGACCGTATGTGGGCTTTAAGGAAAATTCGGTGTACTTTTATTTTTACAAACGATCGAAGTTGCCAAAACATAAAATTTTGCATTTTTTTAAGTTCATTTGTTTGTAAAAATAAAAGTATACCGAATTTTCCTTAAAGCCCACATACGGTCCTTGCCTAGCTCTTTAACTTTATTTTAAAGCAAAAACTGCAATTTTAGCTGCTCCACAAGCTGAGATCAAGAATTTAACAAAAAAATGACAATTTCTATAGGAATAATACGAGAGCCAATAAATGAGAAAATTCGACTCACTCTCACCTTAATGTGGGAAGAAAGGCGACAGCAGCAGCAGCAGCAGGGCACACAGCAGGTACCAGCAGAATATGTCTCTTTTTGTTCTGCTAAATTCAATTTTAGCTCTTACAGCCGTCGTCTTAGTGTTGCTCTTCCTCAACTTGGACGCGCCAAATGATTTTCCCTCAAATAGTCTTACTTGGCCATTCAGATCGGAAGGGAGAGAGAGGGAGTGAAAAGGCAGTGTGAGATAGTAAGGGAGATGATAGGGAGGAGAAAGAGAGAGAGAGAGCGAGACAGACAGACAGAGAGAAAGATCGGAAGCGGAGCACTGCCGACTGAGCACTACTGCGGCGAGCATTGGCTGAAGAAGAGAGGGAATTTTTCTCTCTCTCTCTCTCTCTTTTCCCTTTTCTCTCTGTGAAATATTGGCGAGCTGGTGCGTCTAGGGTGTTTCTGGTTTATAAATGCCAAGCACAGCACCCTGCTCTTCAGTATTACGGCATTAGGTNCAGAGAGAAAGATCGGAAGCGGAGCACTGCCGACTGAGCACTACAGCGGCGAGCATTGGCTGAAGAAGAGAGGGAATTTCTCTCTCTCTCTCTCTCTCTCTCTCTCTCTCTCTCTCTCTCTCTCTCTCTCTCTCTTTTTCTCTCTCTCTCCTTTTTGGATACTGTTTCTCTGTACCGCCAGCAGTGCCCAAAAGTGCTACTGTGGCTGGCCCCCTGTTTGCTACTTCTGCCCTTTGCCACTATTATCTGATGGCGGAGATGAGATTGCTGAGCAGAGATTCTGGCAAACGGGTGAAATTCTGATTCTTCTTCTTCTTGNTTCTGGTTTATAAATGCCAAGCACAGCACCCTGCTCTTCAGTATTACGGCATTAGGTTCCATTTAGAACAGACGTCCGGCCATGGTGCGCTTTTCCGCGACGGCTGCCTCCTTTCTCCCGTCTCAATATGTCGCCCCAGCAAAGTGAACGGTCAGCAGCAGCGGCATCATCATCAGCAACAGCAGCAACAGCAACAGCGGCGGCGACAGTAGCAGCCGAAGAAGCTGAAGAAGTAGTGGCAGCATCAGCAGCAAGAACATTACTAATTCACCCATTGGACGATTTCTATCACCAGTTGTCTGTTTTGTGTCCGTGTCGCCTAATCGCGCTAAATGGCTCGCCAAATGCCTGCCCTGCTCAGTGAAGTAGTGCTAATTAAAGTAAATAATTAATCTGTTTGTTGGACTCTGCCTGTCCTTGTCTCTCTCTCTCTCTCTCTCTCTCTCTCTCTGGCCCATTCTCCCAGTGTGTCTGTGTGTGTCGAGGCGGCAGATTCACAAACGGGTTTTGCCATAAATTTCCCCTTTTCCCATTGTCATCGCATTTCCACTGCAGTGATTTCGCATCTTTTCTTATCTGTTTGTTGTATACTGTCTTCATCTTCTCCTTTTTTCTTCTTCTTCTTCTTCTTTTCAGACGACTTCATGGAACCGATTGGTGCCTTTACTTCAAGTGCCTTCGCTCGCCCATCAGTTGCCCGCTCTGCCTGCCTGTGTACTAGTGCTGCTCTTGGTGGCCTCTTGTTCACTTGCACTTCTTCGGCCCGCATCGGCCGATGCTAACCGAGCGTCTTCTTATTTTTCTTCTGCTTCAACTTCAGCTTCTTTTTTTTCTTCGTCTTCTTCGTCTTCTTCACTGTCTCTAAGCTCAAGTAAGTGCGTAAATATTAATGAGATTCGTCAGCGTTATGTTAGGTACAGGCAGCCACTGATGCATCTTCAAAGAGGGACCGCAGACCAGTGTTTGACTGACTGACTGGCATCTTTTTTTCATGAAACCAAAAACCTTTTGAAAGTTTCAAGTTTNTTTATTTTTCTTCTGCTTCAACTTCAGTTTCTACTTCTTCTTCTTCTTCGTCTTCTTCGTCTTTACTGTCTCTAAGCTCAAGTAAGTGCGTAAATATTAATGAGATTCGTCAGCGTTATGTTAGGTACAGGCAGCCACTGATGCATCTTCAAAGAGGGACCGCAGACCAGTGTTTGACTGACTGACTGGCATCTTTTTTTCATGAAACCAAAAACCTTTTGAAAGTTTCAAGTTTAAACTGGGAACTTCAGAACTCACTTCCTCTTCAAATGATAATTAATTACCTCTATATAATTTATATTTTACAAAGTTGTTAATGGAAATAGATGTGAGGCCTTTGTTGCCTGACAGCTCAGTGGCGTGCACGAGCGATGGCCTGTCAGGCGGACGACCCATTTTGGCACTTTGCAAGTTTGTCACTTTTTCACAACCAGAATGCGGTCAGCATCGCCTTTGTTGTCTTGTTTTGTGTTGTCTTTTTTGATGCGGAAAAGAGAGAATAAAAAACAGAGTGTGCCGATTGTGCCCTCATCGAGGGTGCCTCGTCTGCTGAAGCTCATCTTCAGGCAGACAAGCAGACAGACGAACAGACACAGACAGACAGAGAGTGTCAGAATGGCAGCTCTTCTTCGATCTGCCCCTTCTTGGTCTAAGCCCTCCTCATCGATCGCCATTAATCAGTACTTTTTTTTGGGCCATTATCGCCTAGCAAGTCGTGATCGTGATGATGACCAGTTTTTTCGGTCTTTCGCTCAATACACTGCTGCGTCTTGTGTGTTGAGTTGTCTAATACTGCTGATGCTGCTGCTCTNATTAATCAGTACTTTTTTGTGGGCCATTATCGCCTAGCAAGTCGTGATCGTGATGATGACCAGTTTTTTCGGTCTTTCGCTCAATACACTGCTGCGTCTTGTGTGTTGAGTTGTCTAATACTGCTGATGCTGCTGCTCTGTTGCATCAGTTACCATTTTTCCATTC